AAAGAAAGAAGGAAAGAATTAAAGGAAAAAAGCAGTTTCGCACAGCAGTTGTGCAGCAACAATTTGACGGTCACCGCTTACCAGTTGTGTATAAACTAATTTAACATACCATCATATTAAAAGCTTTTTTTGAAAAAAAAACGTGAAAGTTAAATGTGATTTTCTTTTGTTGCTGGTTATTACTTTTCTAATCAGCATTTAAAATATTCCTGATAACTTTCAGTGTCTAGAAATAACTTTGGAGACGGAGTAGTGGTGACACGCATGGTATTAAAAAATCCGTTTTTTTCCTTTGTTGAATAAAAAGAGAAAGAACAGGAACAAATGCACAGTTGAACCATCAGCTGAAAGAACACTATTTTGAAAAGGAACGTATACAAAGTTTGAGCCTTATTCAGAGCCCAATTTTGCTTCGCACCAAAGAAGGTAAATTTTTTTGCCCGGTGGCACATGAGAAAGACATATGCTGGAGGACTGTACTCCAGATGAAAATTTTCCTCAAACACACAAACTGCTCTTTACTGTCTTCCTTTGTTTTCTTTTCTGTGTTTCCAGTTATCATCAAATTTTAGACATATTTTTTTTCGAAACTGATTCGAGCAATAAGCAAGGCAAATTTTACGTCGTCAACTAATTGACTGCTGCTGCATATCAGTAGGAGTCAGAGCAGAACTCGATGTCTGAAATATTTGACAACATAATAAGGTGTGAGAAACAGAACAAGAAAAAGGCATTTCCAGAATCATTCTATTTACCAACACTTCTAGATACCTTTAATTGAACAAAAAACAAAACCGCCAAATTAGCTGGAAAAACCAGCAGTTAAATGTTTACAGCTACGTTAAATTTTCTTTAAATTTTTGAAATTGATTAAACTGTTTAGCTCTTGCTTTTGCAAAAGAGAAGAAAAAAAATTAAGTCAAAGTAAACAAAAAGAAATCTTTTTTTTTTTTTAAGGAACTTAATCACTAATGAAGCCTTAACATTTTCTGATCGTGCGCTTTGCCGTTTGTAAAAGACGTCTCACAAATTGCCTTTTTTTACCATTCTTGTTTTCCTTTATTCCTTTAGCACTGCAAAATTTGAAAAGAAATTGAAAAGAAAAAAAGACAACTAAAAACAATACAATCGTTGCCAAACAAAGAGAAAGAACTTAAACGACAGAATTATTATATAACTTAAACATTGAAAAAAAGAAAAAAAATTTTACTTGTTTGTTTTTTGAATTTGTTTGCTTGTTTGTTATCTTTTCTTTGTTCCACCAATTTTTTCACTTTTTGATTCAGTCAATTTCAATATACTGCAGTACGTTTGTATCATCCACTGGCTCAGCTAGTTTCCCAGTTAGCATTCTTCAACTTAGAAGAAACATCGAATTTTTAAAAATTTAGAAATCCTATACAGGTGTTAAAGTGTACAACTTTCATTTGGATTCAACGCTTTTTAAAACTGTTAAAGATTGCAGACTTAAACATTTTACCTTAAAACGCATATAAAGGAACAAGTCTAAGGTCATAAAAACGTGACATTCTGCGTCAACTGGCAAATAATTTATATCACTTCTGACGAATGTTGTCTCGACTACAGATGCTACTTTTTAATTCAGGAGACGATTTCTCCCCTAAATATGTCTCCATGGAGACCGAACTTCTACTCTTATTTACTGTAAGCAACCGTAGCCGCCGATGCTTACAGTAACAACGTTTCAGAGAACTAAATAAAAGTGTTGGTACTAAACTGGTAATCGTTTGTGAGGACTAATCTCTTAAATTATAACCCTTTATTACTCAAAACCCTTCAGGTATATTACAACTCGCGGTGTATTTGAGACAATGATCTTACAATATGAAAACTCTTTTGACACAGGTCAGGAGTCTCACTTGATAAATAAAGAGTTATAATAGATCAGAAGTAAACAATGGAGATCGAGCAATTAACATGCAAACGAAACTTCAAATAATGACTTAAAAAGCTGCCAGATGGCACGTTTAAAATTGAAAAAATTTGAAAGAACAGAGAAAATAGTCATAAAAGTCGAAATAATATAAAGCGTTAATAGCAGCCGTAGAACTTTGAGGTTTGTAAAATTATATTTTGAGATCGATTTATTCCGCTTAAGTACTTCTCGCGAAGATAGTGACCAACTGTCTGCCCTTTGAAGGCTACCCTTCAGGAACAGATCAGAGACTGCTACTTTGCTTAGGGCGATAGCCTTCCGCGCGTTGTCGCGACACTCCGGCCTGGGGCTGACAGACAACGCTTTGGCAAAGCAATATGGAATGGTAGTGAGCAGAAATTCTTTGAGATCTAAGTAGAGTAAGTACGAACAGAAAAATAAACACATAAAAACTGAACAAAAAAGAATGAACAAGTAAAAAAAAAACAAAAACTATAAAGACGAAAATAAGCAAACAAAAATAAACTTAGATCACCACCTTTCTTCGTTACTTGTTTTTTTTCTATCTAAAATTTTGCCCAACTTTGGGTCTTTTCACAATATTTGGGCAACATTGTAGGTATTTTTTCGCGTTACCCCTCTAAGCTCCTTGATTACTAAATCTTAAAAGAAAGAAAAAATTGAGAAATAAAAATTGATGTAAAAAAGATATAATAATAAATACAAACTTTAAGAAAGAAAAGAAAAGAAAAAAGAAGAAAAAACAAAACAAAGTAAAATAAAACTGAAGAAAAAGAAAAATAAAACAAGAAAAAGAAAAATGAAACAAGAAAAAGAAAAATGAAACAAGAAAAAGAAAAATGAAACAAAAAAAAGAAAAATAAAACAAAATTTTAAACTTACTGATCACTGGCTACCTTTACTTCATCGCAAAATGTGAGCGTTCTTCCTTCAACTGTCGTTCACACTCTCCCAGCCATTGATAGAATACTTCTAGATTGC